GAGGAAATTGTGAAAGTTGATGTTAGTGATTATAAATAGTAAAGTGCAGTATAATTGAATTGTGAATTACTGAGAGAATAAAGGACATTAGATAGAATCTTTATAACGAAAGAAACTGCAAACTAAGTTGGCGAGTTTTTATTTAACAATCCAGAGATCGTACCCGAAGGATCTAGAAAATAATCGAGGTTGATTCAGTAAAATCGTAACAATATGAAAAGATCACAACAAATAGGTGTAAATTGCTAATGAAATAAGTGTTGCCATTTCACATAATTGTTGTGTTTGCTATTCCGATATCTGGTAAAAATAGTTACCAATTGTTTTCATTTGGAGATGTAATTGAAGGAACTCGAAAATTCATGCTGTGAAAATATGTCAAACCAAATATACTTAAACAAATAACAATAGGTGAGCATATATCACTTTACTAAATGTTGGTTGTAATGTACTCTAAATTTGCATCCCTGGAAATCAAAAAGGGCAAATGTATGCCCTTAACAGTTAGGGCAAAACTTAGTTTCTCCTTTTTAACCGTAAGTCGTCTTAAATTCTAAGTTTCGGTACTGTCTTTTCTAAGCGAACACACATTCAATTACATCTGAATTAGTTAAACGTTGATAAAAATAACAACAAATAAACAAAATAAAAGAAGTATTTATTCGAAGAAATACATTTTCAAACATTTGCTTTCTATTATCATCTTTACACAATTTAAAGGCTGGGTCAATTGGAAAAAATCATTATAAAAATAACACTTTCATTTTTCTATTCTTGTATGTATAAAATTCAGGGTGAGCTTCCAATTACGGAAATATACCTCTTAAATATTAAGCGGCTGTAAAACTGAACTCGGCCCATTCAAATTTGAATTAGGGCTCCCTGAAGAGTTTACTACAATATTATCTTTACTACCTGTTTGTGAAAGGTGTTTTACAATATCAACCCAATCCCATCCACGTGGCTTGTCGCCCTTGTGATCAGTGCGCTCCCACTGCCGTCGCTTTTGAGCTTTCGTCAGTTGCTCCTTCTTTGGTTCTTTCCTCTTATTGGCTTCCCCATTATCAGAAATTTTTAATGCATTTACACCCGCACTATCTAGATCAATGGAATGCGTTGGAACATGTTCAGGCTGTTCAGCGGTGAGATCATCTTGACGATCTTTGAGACATTCAAACAGTGTATATGTCATTCCACAACCTAGCCATTGTTCTGCTTCTTCCACAAGCACTTGTTGTATTTTTGTTTTCACGGCAGGTATTCTGAAAGATAGTTGATTAATATATCTAAATTCATTTAAGAAGTTTGCATACAAATTGCGATTGTAGAAAGTATCCAAGTTCATTTTCGGTATTTCATTAGGGTAGTTATCCGTCCACTGAACTTCAACCAAAAACGATTTATAATGGTCATCTTCTCCATACTATGGTTTAGTCAAAATTAAAACTTCATTTGTATCTTCAATGCATTTTACCTTGTACTGAAAAGTGGTTGCGTCAACCTGCTTAAAGTTAGTGTCTCCTTCATAAATAGATTGCAGTGCTTCTCGCTCATCTGCTTGTTGCTCCACAAGATCGGCCATAATTTTAAATTACATTAACTTTCAGTAATATTTCTTTTCTTTCAAAAATAACTTGCTCAAAATGCTTGCTTAAAATAAGTAAGTAAAAATATTAAGAGAGAAGATAGAAAGTCAAACAGCAAAACATTTCTATGAAACAGCTGAACATTTTTTCATATGGTTGCCACTATGTCAAGTTAACAATGAACAGATTGAAACCTAAAGTACTTATCTTGTTGTTCAGTTTTGTTAAAAACTTCAAGCCATCACAAACAATTTTTTTAATTTTATATTCCAATTTTTTTCTGAATTATTACATAATATAATCCAGTACACAATTTTTAAATAAATTGAATCAGTTAAAACACTAATCCAAGGGACATATAAAAATATATATGACAACAAAGGTTTTTATAATTTCAAAATAGAGAAACTATTTATTAGTTGCTAAAAAAGTTTAACTTAATCCTAATAAAGAGAGAAAAATCAGGAGATCCTTTTTAAATATAACACTTGTAGTAAGAAAGTTTTACTTTTATTGAAAATAACAATCACTAATAGATGTAAAACGATTTAGAACTATAAAATATGTTTTGATGCGATTTTTTATTGCATATGTCCTTTTTAAAAGTAATGCCTAGCTTTAAAATTGACAAACAAATCTGAGTCGTTTTTTTTAACTTTTCCAAAATACTCATAAACTTGGTGTAATTATTGCTGAAATACAAAGCACTTTTTTCGAGAGGAGACATTAATAAGAAGAACCTCTCGATTTAAAAAAAGAGGTAGATAATGTTGATCATATTTCATGAAAACAAACAAGCCACTACGTTAGGGCTCTAAATAAACTGCATAAGACGTCAATTGTATTAAGTAAAATATTCTATAGGACTAACACTATGCTAATGTGTGTCACAATAATTGCATACATATTTTTTATCATAGTTTTTTTAGTATTTCGAGATATGTGAATATTACGGTCTTACATTCTAATATTAAAAATTATAATTAAAAAATAATTTAATTAATTAAATAAAAATAATTTAATTAATTAAATAAAAATAATTTAATTAATTTTTAAAACCGTTTATGCGGCTACAAAGTGCTAATTATATACATACATATAAATAATGTTGCAAACAGAAGAAAAAAATGTAAGCCAATACACTTGACTAGTACAATACTTAAGATTGCTTACGCAATATTTTTTTTCATCGATGGTAATTAAAACCCGATTATAAAATAATGTTATTGATTTTTCCAGTGCTTATCTTATTATTTAAAGCATCCGCTTTATGCTTTCCAGTCCAATCTGTACTCGTCAACCATGAGTAAATGTTGACTGGTGAGCCAACCTGAGAGATAATTTGTTCAAGTAATTTTTCTAACTGAGTGTTTTAATTACACATTTATCCTTACCCTCTTTTTGTGCCAAAGTTACGAACTCTTGCCATTTGGATTGAATTTCCCAATATTTGTCCTTAATTTGATTACGATCTTGCAAGTAGGAAACAGCAAAGAAATATGCCTTCAAAACATCTTGCGGTCGAGTATCAAAGTGTAAGTAAACTCCAATGTTTTTATTAATTTCGGCTATAATAAAATGCTCATGCGGATCGAAGGATGAAACAATGTTTTCGATTGCATGGGCCGTTCTATGCTCAGAGATAAGAGCCTTAATTGACAAGCCGATCCATATATTAAGTGAGACAGATACTGTTTGGCCAATAGTAACACGCTCCATTTTGTTTACCTGTCAAATACATATCGGTTAGCCACGGCTAAGATTGAAGAAATTTTTACCAATAAACCTGCTGAGGTGGTAACAACCGCCCTGACCGAAAATACTCTTCTAAGGTAATTAAGTAGCGTGACTCATTAAACGTGCGTAAGCACACTGCCTTAACTGCTTTTAAATTGGCATACAGATGCATGATGGTGATGAACACAAACACGCTGTATAAGATGCTACGTTACATAATATTAAAATACATTAATAGTGTGGAGAAATATTATTAAAATACCAACCTTTGGCTTTTGATGAGTGTAAGCATGTAAAGACCAATAAATGAAGCAATTAAATTAACGAAAGTTTCTTGTGAGCTGTCCTTTGATGCCACATCAGCCAAGTTACCACGAATCGCGTGATGCTGCGTTAGTGCAGCTCGTGTTGCACCACCTATAATAAAGTTATTTGATAAAATTAGTTTAATTGTTTTTAAATATTTTTACCGGTAGGTATTCAAACACTTACCGGCAACTCCTACAATTGATTTAATTACGGTCGTGGCACATAATAGTTGTGTACTGAAAAAAGGATATTTCGGAAGCACATATATTTCTATACCCATTGCCAAATCATTCAAAAAGTCAGCTCTCAATCGCCATTTCTTCGAATCTATGTCCAGATGAGAGCCTTTCCACCAGGAGAATAAAATACGACCCAAGTGACCACTTCCTTCTTTTAGAATCCAAGTTACTGTAGCTGAATACGCAGTTATATTGTCATTACCTACGCCTATACCCTTTAGTATAGCATGTGTGCACAGCGTGCCTTTAAATAAATCAATTATATACTATATGGTGTGTAGAAGTATTAAAAAAATTTAATTACCACAGATTGTACTACAAAAGGCTTGTATGGTATCCCAAATTTGGTAAGCGGCATAATCATCACTAACACTATCTGGATAACCTTTCGGAAGAAAGATTTTCTGCAGCAAACGAAAGAGAAAGAATTTCTCCTGTATTACCAATTTATCGCTTCGCAATGGCACACGAACAATGCTACTTTGATCTGTAAAAGTTAATTTAATTCGATCAACGATTGTAGTATTTAAAATTAAAGAAATTACCTGCAGGAGTTATATAGAGGATCTCCTCTCCTTTCGTTCCATATTGTTCACGAAAGTGCACTTTCATTTTTATTGTAATACGATGTTTTAGCTCTTGTCAGATTGTGGTCTTCAATATAAGAACAATTTAGGTAATTTCTAAATCCAATTCACAACCCAAATCTAATCGGCGTTTTGATCTTTCTTATATTTTTCTCACTTGCAATCCGCATACTATTTACTTAATTGTTTGTAATAATTTGAGTCATTTCGCTACAAAACCAACCAAACGCAACTGCGTAATCCTGTCGATAAAATGCACTTAGTAACTTTAGACTATGGGCTTTTCTCGTCCGTCCTTATTAAAAAAAAATTTGTCATTATCCTTGGCTTTAAATGATAATAAATTCATAAATATCTATTAAAGACTTTTAAAAATGTCAATTGGAAATAATTTTAAACATATCAGGTTTAAATAAAATGAAATGTCGACTTATTACAAAGGGAAATCAAGAAAATGATCAATTTAGTAATTAAAGTAAAACTGTTAAAACTGTTATTTTTTCACTTTACTTTATTTTGTACTATGTATTGACGTTTCTAAGAAAACTTTAAGGTGCCGTCAGACAATACAATTTTTATTCCGTTCAAGCTATTTTGTTGTCGAAACTAAACATATTGTTGCGAAAATGCGAGGCGAATGTCAGAT